ACAGGGACCAAAGATAACTAGAAAAACTTCCAATTTGAATCAGTGACAGAAAATATACCTGAATCTCCACCAAAGATACTAGCAAACAGAAATAGAAATAACAGAAAGAACACTCAATGTTTGAACAAATCAAAGAGGCCAAATTCAATTAATAAGTTACCAGAAATTACCTACCCAGAGCTCACTCTCATACAAAGCCAAGGAACTCTCCTCTAAATGCTATGGTACTAGAATGAAAACAGAATTACTTCTTTGACTTTGCAAAGGCTGCAAGGCATCACTTATAAAATACACTGATTTGAGCTGTCTGTAATACTAACTTGAGCTTTACATTGTGTAATTGCTAAACTTGTCCTCTGGAAGCAGAGTTCTTTATAATCAGCTGTACCATGAACATCAGTTTATTTAACTATGTGTACCTGAGCCAAGACCTGGCTCATTCTGTCCAAATTCCTGTAACATGCACCCTCCTTCCTTAGAACTGTGTGGGAAAAGTCCCTCATCACAAGAACCACTGTTCTGAAATCCAGAAAATAATCATCCCATTCAATGTTACATAGGTGAAGGAGGGTCTCCAGTCCCCTTCCCCACCAATTCTGACAGGGATTAGGGGCGTGCTGATGCATTAGATCTCTACTTTTATTCCTAGACCACAATGCCTTGAAAGCCTTGACCCAAAATCAAGTTGGTTTATTTCTAACATTTTGCTTAAAAAATTAATTATCTCACTCTGCAGGCAGGTGAGACATGATTGCATTTCCTGGCTCAGGCTGACCACACTGAGCAATTTAAAATTAAATTGGGGGAGTCATAAGGTGGCTGACCCAGGGTTACAGGACTGGGAAGGCTGCGGACAGCTCGGTGACAATAGGAATGATAATTAATAATAATTAACTGCCATTTCAGAGAAGATGGGCACCCCACATGTCTACTACCATGCAGGAGGAAGAGCCTAAAGAGGAACCACACAGTGGCCAGGCTGTCAGCCAGCACCCAACGTGGCAACTGGTCAGAGCATCTTTGCTCTCCAGATGTGAGTTATGCAGTGTGAACGAGACCTGGAGCTGTATCTGTGTGAATGTTTGTGGCTGCGACAACACCAGTCCTTATCCTCCCACAAGACTCACCCTGCCAAGTCCCCACAGTTTTCATTATACATCACTGAGTGCTGTGGTTTGCTCCGTGGACCACTCCACACATGATTCATTTCTCATAAATGAATGAGAGATTAACAGAAAATCAAATTAAAAAAGAAAAAAATTTGCTTTCCTTGTGAGTAGGGACTAAGAAAAAACTAAAAGACATACATATATTTTGAACTTTACTAATGGATCAAGTGGCCTGCATTGAATACTATTAACTACAGAAACAGCATGTGAAGAGAGAATGCTTCTAAACTGTCTAAATCCACAAAATCTGTAGCTTTGTCACAATCTGAGACAAATCAGTAGTGTGCCAGTACAAACACAAACAGCCTATTTCTCTTTGGCTAACTCAACACAATTCCCAGGAAAAGCCAACACAAATAGCTGATATTGCATCACTGGCAGTCTCTGCTCTACAGGGTCTTTCTTTCTGTCAGATCTACAAATCTGACCCAAGTGAGTTTTAACTATGCAGTTAAAAGTCAGTCTGAAGTAGAAGATGAAGCATTGCAAGGTTAAAAAAATAAATAAAAGAGAGAATTTGTAATGAAAGGAGCTTTAAATAGAACATGTGCTTCTTTTACTTCACAGCACTTCAACAAGCTGCTTTCACCACACACAAGCTATTGATATGAGCAAGAATAAAAGGGTCCCTAACAAGGAAAACGACCAATAGTCCAAATCCATAGATTTCTCCAGTGACAAACATTTATACAATAAGCCCTTAAAGTGTAACACCATCAGTCCCTCAAACAGGATGGAACTGACAAGATACTGACAATGCCACTTCCCTAATCCACGCTAGGTTTCACAGAGCACTTTGATTCTTGTCTGTAATGGAAGAATTCAGTTTAAAAAAAACACCCCAAGAAATCTGCTTTTCAAGATTCAGAAGATTATAAACTGGCAACAGAAATAATGGAAAGACAGTTTTTGTCAGTTGATATGTAAGAACATTTGTGTAAAAGACAGCTCACTGTTTTAAGGTGAACAATACAAAGAGCAGGCTAAATATAAGATACGTCACATCTTTAAGTGCTTTTGTGTATGATATGAAAAACAAGTGGATGTGGTTTGCTTTTTTGCTTTTGATGGAGTGCAGCAATTTGAAAAGAAGAAAACAGAATCTAAGCCTGTGAAAAGAGTGTGTTAAAATAATAAGAGATGGGTGCATATGTCGCTCAAGAACTGTGGTTTAACTGCTTTTCACAAAGCAGCAGCCAACTGCAAGGCTCCCCCGATGGCAGCATGGCCTGGAACCAGGTGCCATGTGGAGCTCCTCACCAGGACAGGCTGCAGCTCTCCAGCACGGAACCCCAGTGCTGGGCACTCGGGACCAGAGCGCTGCTGAGCCCTGAGCCAGCCCGGCCTCCCCCGAGCTGCAGGAAGCCCAGCACGGTGAATGTCCCACAGCCAGGCCCCACAGATGGTACAGGGCAGTTAGGGACAAAAGCTTAAGGGCAGAGGTACTGAATGAGCAGTCTAGAGAAGGGCTAGATGAGCACAAGGAGACCATCCCTGCTCAGTTTCTGAGAGATCATCAAGCTGTACCCACAGCCCACCAGACTGGGAACGAGCTGCTGCTGTGTGCACGGATCTCTCACCTGCCATTACCCACCTCAACAAACAGAAAACTGTCTGCAAGCTCATTAATCCATTTTCCCAAGCCTTGCTGTATTATACCAATGCTTTCATGAAGTAATGACCAACTTCACATCTCTCCTTCCTAATTTGAGATGTTCTAGGCTTCCAGAGGTTTTATTACTTTTATATTTTATTCGGTTCTTCTAAATAGCTTTTCTGGAAGTGCAGAATTCAAGCCGTTCTCAGCTTTCACTTTTAAAGCTAGTAGCTGCAGCTTTTTCTTTGACAAAAACAGTTAATATACACAAAACTTGATGTCTTTTCCTCTTATTTTTCAATCAAAAAACTGCTGAGAAAAGCTCAGCAGAAATTACACAGTCAGGTTTGGGAAGCATGACGACATTACCAAACCGTAGACATTCTCTGAAGGATAGGGACATTTTCTGACAGCCAGCCACCCAACCACTTTTACATGTTTTGGATCATTTTTCTGGGCACAGTTATAGCTTCTTACCACTGCACTGCCACTACAATTTGCATCCACAAAACCTAGCAGTTGCTACAAAAAAAAACACAATAAAAAGCAGCAACTGAATCTCTAGCTGGAAGGCACCATTTGCAACAGCTGTAACAACATCTAACTGGTAAAAACTTTAAAGAAATACGAAAATTGAGATTTAATCAAAGAAAGAGATTCAAGAATGATCAGCAACATGAAGAAGGGACACAGGAGAGAACGACAGCTGAGGAAACTGACAGGCACAATTCACATGGAATTGTTACTTTAAAAACAGAACTATTATAGAACAGCATTGTCCTGCATTACCTTGTTTTCCAAGTATGTCGTCATCCACCTCCATCAAAAATATAATCCCTTTTGGATGCCAACAAATACATATTAAATGAAACAATCTCGGGACAAGAAATTACATATGATTATGAAAAATGAGGCAATGGCATAAGCTACATTTCAGTATCACAAATTAGTTAAAGAATATTAAATTAAAGCAGTTAAGTAGGAATGAAAATACTTTTAAAGAATGAACTTAGTGTTTTATCAAAATAATTCTGAAGCACAAATTCACAATTTTGACAAATGCTTCAAAGAATGAACAAGTCCTTGATATTAATCAGGCTATAATAAAAAAAAAAAACAATGTATCTATAGGTAAAAAAGTAGCAAAGCATTGTTGTGAATCAAAGCAGCTCAAAAAATCCAGTATGTGTAGGAAGTTAATTGTACTGCTGTCCTGAAATCCCACACAAAGAAAAATGTATGGGTAAATTAGGGGGAAAATAGAGGGGCAGATCTTAAAGAGGTGTTTTTTTAGTTATACTGAGATTAAACATGAGGATTTATGATCTCTAATATGCTACAGGAATCATCAGCATCACACCATCCAAAGGAGAAAAAAACAAACAAACAAACAACAGCCATCACTAACGTCTTACATATTGTCTTTGGTTGTTTAATATCAAGAAATACTTTTTACAGAATATGTGGAAACTACTCCTTTGAAATTCATTCTGTGTCAATACCTTCCCTGTGGCCTCTCTGGTAAACCAGAGGACAGGCTTTACTTTCTCTCAATAGTTTGCTTTTTTCTACATTTTTATCATATCTCTCTTCAAAACTCCAATTTCTTCAATTTACAGGCTTTTGTACCAAAACGGTTTGACTAGAACAGATTTTACATTGTATAGTGAAGATATTTTTCTTGCATTATAAACTTAGAACCTACTAAAACAATTTTCCACAAGATACTATTGAACTTACAGCAGGATTTAGAGACAGGAATAATGAACATTTGCAATTATAATAACTAAAATGAAAACCAACCCAAAACTCCTAAGGTTACATTAGCAAGGATTAAAGGTTTTCTCTCTCTAAGATATTAAAATTACTGCTTTCGAAAGTCTTGTACCAGAAAGGAGTTTTCAATCCCCAGCTAGAGGTGCTCAGTACTTGAGGAGAGGGGAATGGGAGGGGATGTTTAGGGTTGTCCCCTCCTCATTGCCTTGCTGTCTGGCCAATTAAGCTCAAAATGCTTACCAGGTGTATGATCAATTTATGGAATGGAAAGTAGCATACACATTTAATGGTATTTCCATTGGACTATGTACAGCATCTCCAATGTCAGAATCAAAAGCATTCTGAGTAAAATCAGATAACAGTTATTAGGAAAAAGAAACCAACAGAAAGGTTATTAATACACCTTTAAAAAACGTAACACAAAAATAATTAACCACTGCTTTCTTGGCATGTAAAAGTTCTATACAAATTTTAAAAATTTTATTTGCAGGTACTAACCTCTTCAAAAGCTCACTCTGTATTTACACTAATTCTGTTAACAAGTTTATCTCAAATTAAAGCATATTTAAAACAATCATGATTGCATTAACTTTTCTGCTTTAAATTATTACCCAATTAGTGCTTTATTCACATTTTAAAAACTTGTACAATTTATTACAAATATAAAACAGTGCAGTTTTTCATACATTATCCCAACTCTGAGACAAACACTTAAAAGACATGGAAAAAGGTTTTGATTTCTATAAACATAACATTTGCATTACTCATACCCCTTTCTTCACTGTCCTCCCATAACCCCAATTTAAAAAGATCAAACATACAACATACTGTAGGTTTATTTTTATTCAAAAAGTTACTGTCTCAAGACATAAATACAAATCAGAAAACAGTACAATTAGGACAATAGAATGTGGAGGACAACAGGTTAAGGTAAATATATAAAACATTTTTAGCTGGTTGAAAACAAAGCTGTAAGAACTGCTTTCACAAAGAAACACTCCTTCAAGAGTAAGAAAAATCAACTTAAGTTTAAAATCATATATACAGTCCTCTCAGCAGTTCTATTAAATGCAGTGGTGTGGAAAACAATATAGGCAGTACTTTTAGACATGAGAGTATTTATTTATGTAAAATGAGTTAGGCAGATCTAGTTTTCATTTTGTTGTTACCCCATGACCTAGTAAAATAATTATATTTTATCATGATCCTTTAGATAATCTATGGTTTTTGGCTACCACAGCCGAATGTTTAATTTCTGAGTCTAAAAACAGGAAGCCTTTTTGTATTCACCCATTTGGGGAGATTCTTGTATTGCAAGCGTATTAAGGCATGGAATGATTAAAATAATATACCTCAAGAACTGAGAGACAACTGACAAAAAATATACATATGTAATATAAGTTAATATTTCCTTTAAAATGATGTCTAGCTGCCTAAGCCTTGCAAAATGAGTCAATGTCAAAATGGCATAGATCCACTTTCTGTTTTAGACCAAATTTAATTTATTTGTGAATGGACACAAAAATGAAATTTAAAGCTTAGCTTTCAAAGAATATTATGGGTTGTTTATGAGTTTCTATTATCCAATCTAATTTACATATAGAGGAAATGTACTGTAACCTGTTAGAAGTATCTTTAACCTGAAGACTGCTTGCAAAGACAGATAGATAAAACAATATAAAATACAAATTTAAAAATCATTTTTAAAGCATGAATTCTCATGCTCTTCTATTTTTAAACATTGTTAAACTTTCAATATATTTCTGAAACCTCATAATTTTAAGTTGGAATTTAAAAGTAAGAAAAAACTAAACAAACTGCGCAATTATAAAATCAGCACCAATTTATATATATATATAATTTTATTTAAAATTTAGATCCCTATTCCCACACTCTAATAAGCTGTATAATTTTTGTTTAGAATTTTTCTGCAAACATACTACAATAAGCTTCTTTTATTTGGAGACAAAATACAGTGGCACTACTGGAAGGAATTTCACAACATTACATTTTTCTTAAAGGACAAGCAAACTTTCAGGGTTGGTAATGGGCAAGCAAGAGTGAAATCTGTTACGTTCTGGTAGCTTACAGCTTATGGACCTTTCTGAGAATGCTAACATGAAGCTTTTGGAATAAAAAGTGTGTTTTAGATTAAAAAGCTGTTAAAATTCTGCTTTATGTATTTTTTCCATGATTAATTGATACAAACCTTCTGTTGCTGATGTTTGCATTTAATTGAAAATACTGACAAACTTTTCTGGTTCGTTCTACACTGTGAGAAAACCAATCCATCTACTATTACAGCTCATGGACATGAACAGCAATCCAGCAGAGCTCATGATTATTTAGTATAGCCAGCAAATGTATAGAGAGGGGCTCAAATCTGTACCAAACACCTCTCACACTGTTAAGATTAAAACTCAGAGGGAATACTTCTTATGATCCAGAAATAAACTGATAGCACATAAATAAAATATTGGAATTTTTTCCCAACAAAAAGTGTAGCTTATCCTCAAATTGTTTACTTGTCCTTTACATTTCTTTTTTTCTTTCAGGCAAACAAAACTGCCCCTTCAATGCACTTGATCTTGAAAGCATGTCATTCTCCTTAGAGAAAAATCTGTTCAGAATTTCACTGTATCTACCACAATTTTGTATTGAAAAACTTCCTCTTCCACTTAGAAAATGACTTCACCACTGATTTATTTGCTGCTCTGGTATTAAAACATTGACACCCCAAGAACCTAAAAAAAAAGTTAGAAATGGTGTCAATTTGTAGTCTAATACACATTTAACAAATAACAAAGCAATTAGTATATAATTTAAGATTAAGACACTTCAAGATATGTTAAGGCATTATTAAGTTTATTTTTCTTCCAAACCAGATTAACCACGCTTCTGATTTAGATAATAATATGAAAAGGGCTCCTCATTCCTTAGAAATATTTTTCTCACACTTGAAATTAACTAGATCTAGTAGGAATAGTCTGTGTTTTAATTATTTTAGGTAATAATTGCAGAATAATTTTTAGTTAGGTGCCTAACTCAGATTTCTTTGACATTCTATTGGCTCTAACCTGAAATCAAATGCGTTATTATCAGTGACTAAACCTGGGACAAAACATTTCAGATACTGGCTGCTGCTGTGTCTGTGATCACAGAAACCACAGGCCATCCCACATCAGCCAACCAGGACACAAATTTAACATTTCCTAGGAAATGTATTCACTCTGTCAGGAAAACAGTGAAAAATCAATCATCAGGTAAAATCAAGCAACTGTACTTCAGGAGATTGTGTAACTAGGGAAAGAAAAAGCTTCCTGAAACAAAGTGTCAGTTTCCACTTCCCATGTGAGAACAAGCCATACAGCTTTCTATGCCAATGGAAGTATGTACGACCAATGATGTGCCAAAAAACCCCCAGAAAATCCAGATTTTGTGACCGTCCTAGCTTTTGTAAGACTTTATAAAATCAGCAAGAGCCAAAACAGATCAAATATTCCTGAGCCATATTTATCTGTTTACAAATCAGTTTTTACTGTTCTTTGAATTATATTCACTTTGGGTGCTTCCTACAACAGAGCACACAGACAGAACTGCCTCTGGTGCCAGCAATAACTGGGCACATCCGACTAGAAGTCTAGTCATAAACCATGTGCATCTGAATAAATTAAACAGCTCTATTATGTCTACACCTATTAAAAACAAGTGCAACAACTCCGAGAATAAGGGACCTCTGAAATAAATTACATGAATAAAGCGAATGACCTTTATTCTGAGAATTGTTTGCATTTGTGCCATGTTTTTTACGCTGAGCGCTGCCTGTCAGGGGGAGCCCTGGTTCCGTGCACGGTGTTTGCCCGCGCTCGCCCCGCCGGGGCTCCGCGCCGGCCCCGCCCGGCGCTCCCCGCGCTGCCGGCGGCTGCCCCCGCGCGGCGGCTCCGCGCACCGCGGCCGCTCCGCGCACCGCGGCCGCTCCGCGCACGGCGGCCGCAGCACAGCGGGGCCGCTCCGCGCACCGCGGCCGCTCCGCGCACGGCGGCCGTTCCGCGCACCGCGGCTGCCCCCGCGCGGCCGCTCCGCGCACCGCGGCCGCTCCGCGCACCGCGGCCGCTCCGCGCACCGCGGCCGCTCCGCGCACGGCGGCCGCGGCACAGCGGGGCCGCGGAGCCGGCCGGGGCTAGCGGGGAAGGCTACAGGGGGTCTCAAAGCCATTACATGCGACCTGGAGAAGGCCACGGCTTCAGCACTGTCTGACTAAAAAGTGACTGGTACTTCACAGATAGTCCAGCAAAAATTGAGAAGAGGAGGGGAAGAACTATTGTAAAACAGAATGTCAGAGAACAGGCGAGATATTTTCTTGGTGTTAATTCAGGAAAAGAACACACAACAGCCAGACGCACAACCTAACTGATTCATTATTACTAAAGCAAAGCCCTACTGGTACAAAATATATGGTTTTGCATTTAAAACAGTATTTAGGACTTCTTTCTGCCATAAACAAGAAGAGGTTCACGCTGCAACAATACTGTAAAAAAATACATAACCATCTTCCAAATTCCACCAAGCTGTCCAAGATTCCCAGGAAGCCTTGTTGTACTGTCCTCTGCTGGCTTGCTGCAGCTTGTTATTTCCAGTGTAATTTTGTACCAGCTACCCAAGGTCAAAAATGGCTGCATACTTTACAAGTGGTTCAAGACAGAAGGAATCCCTCATGCAGATTTTTAAAAGAGAATAGAGACTGCAGATTTATCAAGTCGGATAAAAGGGCAACTGCAAGCAGAAACTACAGACTTCGGATGTTTTGGACCTAAAACTTTATATGGAAAGAAAAAATACCTCTCATCTCTATAAACAGATATCTGTATTATCTCTTATTTTCTCTATTATCTTATGCACAAAAGTAAATATGCCAATTAAAAAAGAAAAACCCACAAAATGCAAACCATCTAATGCTGACATTTGGTAATGACATCAGAGTCACTGAACTAAGCTCAGCACAACAGGAAACTTGCTTTTAATACTGTTTATGCACACTTCTTTATTTTTCTAATGCTACTTGCTTATCAGCCTCTGCTAGTCTTTTCCATAACAAATGGTGTTTTCTGCTCAGAATCATAGGCTTTTAATTTTTACATACTATATATACATATTAAGAACAAAAACCCCATAAACTTGCAAGGAACACTGACTATCCTAGAATGTATGGAGCTGAATTACTGCACCAGTCTGTCAAAATAAGCTAACAATGACAACCTGAAGATTGCATTCTTTCCATTTAAAATCTGAAATAAGAGTATGGCAACCTTAAGACTGATTTACATTACTTTCCCCTTAAATAAGTTAACCTACCGATTCATCCATGATTGAAGCGGGGTCAAAGAAATCTGGTTTTAGTTCCGTTCGTTCCCTCCTGTTCTTTGACGGTGGCTTTAGAAAGCAAACAAACAAACATGTTAAGTGTAATTTCACCAGAAAAACAAAGGTTTTACACTGTAGTCAGTGAAGCTGAACTCTCAAGGGGTAAGAATTCACAAGGGACAAATGTTATTTGTTACAACAGGAAGTGTTCTTGCTTTTTGTATAACAATTGGACCAGATGGCTCTTGTACACAGACAACAGCACAGCTCTTTAACAATGCAGAAAGCAACCAGAATGATTTTTGTTTTATTAGAAGGAAAATTTAATTCAAATATCTTACTTTAAAAGCAGAAATACAAAGCCCAAGAACACTAAAAGAGAAGTAAATTTCTTACTAGGTCTATGTCCATGGTGTCAAAATCCATGCCTTCATTAAGATCTTCAATCCGCCCTTCTGATGACATCATCACATCTTCAACAATTGGCTCTTCATCATCTTCCATTAGACTTGTGCCACGTCGACTGAAATGAAAAGCAATACTGTTTAGCACTAAATCAAGTCAACTTCGATCTATTTAAAACATTAATGCTCAGTAAGGGACTCCCAACAATCCAATTACATAAAACAGAAATGAAGTAATGAAATGAATGCATAACTACTACTAAAGAAAGCTGGTATTTAACCAGAAGATACTAAGAGAGTGTTGGAGAATACCTAACAAAGGTCAGTTTAGACAACCATGGTACATTGCTAAATGGATATTCTGAGAGGGTGTGAGACCTGGCAAGCAGATCTACTCCACACCTAATTTATGCTCAAGTGAGGAAGAACTTAAGTTTCGCTACTTAAAGAAAAATTGTTTCTGCCTTATGATAAAGCTGGGAAGAATGCCTTTGAAATAAAGTAGATGTGTAAAAACACTACAAATACTCCCACACAGTCCTTCATCCTCTTTCCTCATAAATTCTACATAAAACATAAGATCTTATGCAAAAACTACGGAGTCATTCTAATTATACTAATTGGTGCCACTATTTAAAAAAAAAAGTCACCACTGAAACTATGTTACATGAAGTACTGGAAATAAAGCAATCAGAAGCAGGGGAAAAATGTAAAGCTCCTTAATACATACGTCCATGGTTTTTGTTTGCAACGTGTACTTTTTTACTGTAGAACTCTCCTTACTGTCCTTAAGAATGCAGAGAACTTTTAAACTTAGAAGATGTATCCCTCTTCAAAGAAACAGGTGTGACTACTGCACTACTGCATTTATAAGCCCTCCCCGACCCACAGAAGGAGCATTTCACTCCACTCACATGGCGTGTTGCAAGTTGCTTCTCAGCTTGACGTAGTTCATCGCTGCCCTCTCCTGTTGTTGTCGCGCGGCTTCTTCCTGTTGCCTTTGAGCCAACATCCACGTTACTTGCGTGCTTAAAAAGACCATTATTCTATTTTAAACATGTACTGGTTTGTGTGTGGACACTAACACAAAGCAGACCTACTCGTGTACGTACTTGTAGTCGAGCGGCGGTTGGTGGTGCTCGGGCTGCATAGGATAGACACCCATGTAGTTCTCGTCGGGTCGCAATCTCTTGGGCTCCCTCATTATCGTGGAAGTGAGCTGAGGTGTCTGCATCATGACTGGTGTGTGCATTGACTGCTCCCTGTTCAGCCACATACTGTCACTACTGCTGCTTTCTTCAGCTGAAAGCAAACGCAGGAAGAACATCTGTGAAGTTTCTCTTCAAACTAGTCTAAAAGTGAATGCTAAAATACAAATTAAATGCATGACACAGAGAATCAATGGCTTAACTTTCTGTCACAAAGTTTTACATGTGCCTCAAAGAGCCTGGATTTATAATCACTGGCTGGAGCATTTCTATACTTTTCTATTGCATGACTCAACACTGTATAGTGCCCTTATTTCCTTTTGTGAATCAAATGAATATTTTTCCCACTAAGACACACACATGATCAGAAGTTAGCTGTTCTGAAAAAACACATAAAGGCATACCCATATAGTCACACAAAAAATATGGAACAATATGTGCAGTTTATATGAATATCTATTCTAGTAAATTTTAAGATGAGAGAAGTTCTACCTTCAGGTACTTTCCGCTTGCCTGTTGCTGGCTTTGTCTTCTTATTTCTTACTGTAGATCCTCGACTACTGATTCCACTAATCACTGACATGGTATCGTCATCCCCACCGGCTAATAAGGAGTTTCGGTAGGACATGAGAGGAAGCCACACATCTTCTCTTCGTAGAGACATCTGAAAGGTCATGAACTTCTCCAAGTAAACATACCTTTAAATTAAACAAGAAATAAAGAGATGCAAAAAATCTGTAACAAAATGTTACCATGTCAAGATAAGTAACTACAGAAATTATTAGCCCACGTTTCCAATCTAGTTAACACCAAGGCCTGACAACAGCAAATCCAGAACACAATTTCTGTTTATCCACCATAAAATGAAAAATAACAACAATAAATACAATTTACCTTCTGTGAGTATACTTGACTAAATTAGTGTAAACTTACCTTGATGTTCCAAAGACTGCACTTTAGATGAATGCACAATACACAAACATTTATTCTGATGCACTTCTTTTGTGGTTATCATTACAAATAATACAAATTAAGAAAATACTTACACTGTTCTTTTGTCTTGTCTGAGAAGTTTTGAGGAGAATTCACTGAGAATATCGAGAAATGCCAAATTTAATGGTGGGTGGCTCTCACCTTGTGGATTAGGCTCCTTAAAAGCAAATTCTATGCCATCCCTAAGAACAAATAAAAAATTACATCAGAAAAACAACAAACAGAAGTTCAAAGCACTATGAATTACCAAAATCAAAACCCTTTCCTTTATGCCAAGAAAGCAATAATTTGATGTTTCTGTATTCTAGCAAAAATGTGAACACCAGTTATTACTTGAATCTGGACACACTTTCTGTCATGGAATTTCAACCTTGCATTGTGGGTTTTCCGCATGAGGCCGACAGGCCCACCACTGACAACGAAGTGGATCCGTTCTTATTGTTATGGACTAGACATTAGAAAGGATTTTTCATTATAGCATCAACACTCATAACATACACACTTATACAATGATGCTGGAGAACACCAACAATATTAAACATTTAGATTTACTCAGAGACAAAACTGCAATCATCTTCTAATTAATATATGCGCTTTATCATCTCTAGGGCTGATGCACTTAGTATTAACTAATTTTCAAAGACAAAGAAGATTATTTTATGTTAGTCAAGAAGTGTTTACAAAAATGGAAGTAATACAAAGCACACAATTACTTGTGTAACATAGCAATAGCTTCTCTTGTTTTCAACTGATCCAATCCAAATGTTAAAGCAAAACGTCGAGCAAGCTCCTTTATACCACTGAATGTTGGTGATGATCTGTCAAAATTATAACCATTTTCTTGAATCATTTCATTGAAGAGCTGCATGGAATAAAAAGGGAAATTTTCATGTATTAAAAGATTATGCTAAACTTTGGACCAATACACAGATACGTTTCAGTTTAGAAGTATGTTTCACAGCTTTTTCCCCCCCACTCCGACTCTGACAACATCAAGTGACAAACATGGACCTTTTGGACAGTGAAGAGTCTGCACCCCAGAGATAAACTCTGAAATGCACTGTCCAAGCACTCAAACTGCAAACATACTGGAAGACAGATTTCAGTGCTTCACTAAATCAGGTGTTCTAATGTTGAGAAAACAAAAAATTAGTAGGATTCCCTAATTACATACACTAACAGGGAAGAAATAAATGGGGTGATCCTCACTTGGTCTTTACTATAATACACTGTCAAACTACTAGTTCCCGATTCTTTTTTTTTCTTCTCAAAATACAGGTAATAAAGAAGAAACTCTTAAAATGGAAATGCCTTCGGGATATTGCCAAAGACACCAGAAATTCTGTAACCAATTATGATATTTTTAAGTACTCAGCAGTAGTTGTCAAAGCCAAATACTCTGAATTTTACAGTCTTTTCTTTGATTAATCCTTTTCTCATCCTACTGAATTCAACTATAATTCACTTCAATAATAAATTTTTCTATTTTTAAAATTTTGTCTAACACACACGTCACTCTTTTGTATCACAAAGAATTAAACAAAGAATATTTAGTTACATATTTTACACTGCAATTCCACCAGCTACTTAAGAGTTATGCTGCTATCAAAAGGAAAGGCCTCATCCCCCTTTGGTTTGGCAATATCCATATGATAAACCAGTCCTTATTTTAGTAAGGACTATTTCCATTTGGCCTCCACCAGGCTCAATATCCAGATCTATATTCACTATGTAGCTTTATAACCTTTAGTCAAAAACCAGGGATAGAGAAAATATATTTGGGTAGATTTTCCTTTCATGGATAGCTGTGATCTGTGCTGGATTACAGTGTTTTGGAGATATATGTGTCTACTGTTCTAAGCCTGTGAATAAAATCCATGCAGATGGTTTATGTCAGCAGATGAATCAAACACTAACTTTAACTGAATTCATCAGGTTTCCACACAAACAAACTTTACTGAAGACAACATTAAAGTATGTTTTATTGTTGAATGTGTGAAGTCTCTACTAAACATAAAGAAATTACTAAAGCTTCAAATTGAATCTCAGTATAGTTTAAAAAACCCAAAACCAAAACAACACCCCCAAAAGCAAAACAAAACAAAACCCCCACAAAAAAACCCCAACCCCTACCACACAGGCAGGAAGTATTAATCTGTTCACAAACAAGTAAACTGGCCATTTCACAATGTATCAGAATACTTAAAGCTATTGTTTTAGAGTTATGAAGGTTTCATAGAGTTATGCTCATTTTGTATTTATTGACCTCTCCTACATTTTTTGTGGTACAATATTTGGTAAGTATAGGAAGACTTCTGGCAGTTTTTCCCATAGTTGCAGAAAATGTGTTTCAGTTTAGACCTATTTATCCCTATTGCTCATAAAAATTTCATCATCAATATCTCAAACTAGTTACTAAACAACAGGACATCATCTATAGTATTGAATTTCATGCATAAAAATATTATAAACTCTTACCTGCTGCAAGCTAAGAATAAGTGTTTTAGCACACTGGATTTTGTCTATCTGCCTTGTTTTACTCATCGTTTCTTTAATAATATCACCATAGTCATTGTAATACTAGGAAAAACAAACAAAAAAAANAATTCTTCTGAAAACAAAATCTAGGATATGCTCTTTTAGAAAGAAAAATCAAACATTATCTAAAGGGAAAAAATCCCAATATGTTCATGATTACACAAAAATTACACCCTAAACCACCTCCAGAATAATAATTGAAAAAAAAACATAAATGCAAAAAGAATAAATCCACTTTTCATTCTTGCAGTGAGTATTACTTTAGAGGCAGAATGACCTATTTATCTTCAAGGCCATGACATATTTGTTAATGACACGTGTTCACCCCTTCAGGGTACAAGATTAGACTCTTATCTTTTTACTAACTCCTATGACTCTGGTGAGGAGTTTTATTTTCTTTGCTGAAAGAATGCACTTACAGACAGCATCACAGGCATAATTTGTCCAACAAAGACAGCTGTCTGTTCAGCTTTTTAAGTATTTCAGGTTTAAGAAAGACACAATTAGTTATTTGGAGAATCAAAATATATGTAGGGCACTCAAGACAGATAAAAGCAGGCTGCTGAAATTTTAAGTTTTTAGGGTAATCACCAAGGAGCAAAGCTTTATCATGTTCACAAAATGAGAACTCATATTAATGTGCGGCTGTGAATCCCATGAGCCAGGAGAGGTTTTTATATTTAAGTAAGATTGGAACAGATACAAAGATAATGGGGAGAGGGGACTCAAATTTTACTTCTCTTCTACAAAGTTTAAACTTCAATTATTGAATGAGACTAGACATCATGGGGTTGATCTTCGAAAGAACATTCTCAAAAGGCCTACTAAACTAGTAAGTGAATCAAAAATACACCTATCAGATATCAAATATCAATCAGAGTAAGAAAATAAAACTAGTAAAAACAACACTAAATGAGTTTCCCCCCTGGTCCCCACCACCCACACAGCACTGGAACTGTAAAACTCATCTCCATGATTTTTCTCTCTACATACAAAAAAGGGCCTAAACCTCTGGAGTTTTGAATTCTTCACATTTTGAACCGGTTATCTTGTAAGGTAAAAAAACAAGAAATAGTTAAAAATCCCACAACTACTGTATTCTAGTAGTTTTATGAAGTACACTACTAAGCTTCAAATTTACCTTCATATATTGCTTGAAAATGTCGGCGGCTGTGTTCATTTCCACCACAGTATATACAATGAGCTTACAGAAAGCTGCAAGCAGGTTTCTTCTTTTGTGTAATGCTTCAATTTTGCTGGCTTCATCATCCTGCTGTCCATCTAGAAAGAGTTCAAAACAGGAAAATTGTCAGGTTTAAAGACTCCATGTTTAAACATTTATATATAAAACTAACATGGGCTAGTGGTCATGATTCAGAAAATCAGATCTCAGTTCTGACGGCAATGCACTTCACTGTCCACTGATATATCTGTTACCCTGATACAGTGATAAATATTTGAGCCTATTAAACCAAACCTTTATTGTAATTATCCTCCATGTTCCCAGTACAGAAAATCCTTTAATCAGCTACTGACATTTAAAAGACACACCTACTTCTGTGCACATGCACACCTCTCAATGACAAAACAAAATTAAAAT